TCTGATTAGCTATTAAGTGCAATAGCCAATCATATTTTAGATAGTCACCAGTTTCACTAGCACAATTTAGTTTCACCAGAAACTCTAGTCATGCCTCACTTTTATTAAATTTTATTCTGAATCAGAAATGCATCCGGTCCGAACCAATCCTTTGTGGACTATCAGAAAACCAACCTATACTGTATATTCGAAATAACGCCCATGAGCGTACTCGAAATATCACGTACTCGAAATGTCACGTACTTGAAATATCACGCACTCGAAATGTCACGTACTTGAAATATCACGCGCGCAGATGCTCGCTATTTCGAGAATTTATGTTGTTAATGAAATCAACATAATGAATTATCTAATATTTGAGAGATTGATGTTATTGTGAACCATAATTATAGCAATCATTTTCATTAAGGGAATAAAGAGATATTCTTATTTCTTAATTTTTCAGGGAATGAAATTCGTGAATCAATTTACGAGTATTCTTTTACCGTCATTCATCATGAAGCGAATGAGAAAAGTTGTTTGTCATCACTGACAATAACGCATTTGACAGAATAACATATTTGACAGAAAACAAATGTTGCATATTAAAATAATACATGAATAAATAACTTCATTAGTCAAATAATATTGATACTATATTTCGATGATTTTTCGTTATGTATGAATATCTGATATTAAAAGTGGGATATCGTATCGGTATGCATATTGATAGACGTATTTCATAGATTATTCTTCGTACTTGCCGCGTGATGTAAATGATGATATCGATAAATATATTTTTTAAAAAGATTTTTTATTAAAAGAATTTTCAGGCAAACCAAATATAAAAAGTAAGCCAGACAAAAGAAAAGTGAATATAAAATTAACATTAATAAATATTAATGTTCAAATTTATATTAAATAGAAATGTTTTTTTTTTTGTTTATATAAAACAAATTATATAAGTATATTATTATTTAAAAGGGTTATTTAAAAGTGATAGAAATCACCAAAGAAAAAAATACAAGTAATGTAATACAAAACAGGCACCATATGTAAGGTGCTATGTTGTTGATGTACATGTGAGAATACATGTAAGGAATTATATGTACGAAGATATGTGATGTACAGTACGAAGGAGGTATATGTACGTACGTACGGAAAAAAAAAGAAAAGTATTGACATAATAATAAAAGTCCTAAAATTTTTATAATTTCATTTTTCCAAAAAATGAAGAAATCATATGTCGAAAATTACATTTACTTTCCGAAGGTTTTTTTTCTTTATGATCATTATTATCCAAAGATTTTACTTTAAATAATGTTGTTCCGTGATCAAATGTGTCGTAATTAGCTGTTGGGGTTGAAACTTCAATTTCACCACCTTGAGCACGGAGTAAATTTGATAAAGTATCAGTCATAACTTCAATTGCTATGATTGAAGATACCGAAGATCTTTGTGAAGAAGGCAATTGCTCAGAATCCAAGTCTTCAGCTTGAGTTGACGTACTTGATACAGTTGTAGAAATATTATCGCTATTTGGTGTGGTTGTAGTAGGAGTTGTTGAATCATTTACTTCAACAAATTTATGTGAAGAGAGTTTTCGTTTATATAAATGAATCATTATTACGAATATACGAATACACTTAGAATACACTTAGGGAAACCGATATTAATATGCCCAAAATTAAAATATCAATTGATTGTGAATTTGGAACAGCAAGTTTCTTGAGATGGTGATCCGGAAGGATAATAAATAGAAGAATCAAATTATTGTTTTCATGCAATGATGCTATCATATATTTTTGGTAAAAAATGAGATGAATGAGAATTAATAAATTTGGATATTTATAATTTTTATGATTGATGATCAAATATATATTCAATGAATCGTTACCGTGTTTGTGCTTACCTATTGATATGGTGAATATTGATATGGTGGTATTGATATGGTGGATATTGATATGGAGGTAATATTTAAAGAAAGTTATTTCAACAATCACAGGTATATAATATATAATCAAGATATTAAGTTAAACGTTAATAATTTTCAAATGCTCATGGGCAAATTTTTTTTTTTTTTGGTTTCAAAGTGAAAACAAAAAAAAAACAAGGAATGGATTCCAACACGGCCTTATAATATATCATCATTCCACGAACAGTAATATATTCGGAAGTTCGATGAAAAATAAGATCATGTGAGTTCAGTAGGACTTCTTAAAAAAAAAATGCGCGTAATGAGTCCTTGCTTAAATGTTATTTATTTACGTTACCCGCTAAACAAGGTTAGATCATCATTTGAATTCGAATAGATCTAATGTTCATATAGCTATATCAAGAAGTAAACTTTATTTAGGATATTGGATTACATTAGGTTACGTAATTACGACAAATTTTGAGAATCTTGGTTACATAGCAAACTATACAAAATTATTGGTTTTAAAAATCCTATTGCATGCAG